GTTGCAAGATACATTTCCCATGTCAAATAGACAGTATTGTGCTAGCCAAATAAGTACAGTTGAGAGTTATATATAAATGCATCAAATTTATTTCACTAACATGTGGTAAATATAGTAATTGGCATTTCTGAGCCTATCTCTGAGCATATTCTGCTAGGATCCTGTTTATTTGATCTCAAATCTAAGGATGACAAGAGGATTTCCTTTGTCATCCTGAAATGCATGATCAGTTATTCAGGATCCTAGCATAATATGCTCCTACCTGGGTTTTTGTCTTTAGTACGAGAAGCCAATGAAGTGGAGAAATGCTGCTAATCCTTAAACAGATTTGCAGCAGAGATTTGCTAATTCACAAGGTGTTCAAAACAGGAGCAGTTGTCTGTCTTCCGATACTTTGATGCTGCTTGCCCAGCGATGCAGTCCTCCTTCTAAGCCTGTTGAAAACTTGGTATAACTCCTCTTGGTTTTACACTGTATGTTCTGTAATCCACATTCTGAAGAGAACAGATTGACTTCCTAGAGAATGCTTGCCCAGAGAATAATATGAATAACATCAGTTGATGAGTCAACTGTGGGGACAATTTTTATAAACGTAACATAACAAACATTGATAACATTGTGAGGTCCACTAGGACTTAATGATGTTATATGCACATGCATCGTGAAATGTAAATGCATGTCTGATTATAATATCATATATACAGATTGTCACAAGTTTATCCATACATATATTTTCCAATAAACTTGTGTGTGTGTGTGTGTGTAACCTAGCAATAAACTACACCAGTCCACAAACAAACTACACCAGTCCATGACAAAGTACAGGAAGACAGAATTTAACATATGGCTGTTCATGTATTAGAGAAACTGTAATTGTATTATTATGAGGCTAGTGTAACAAACCAAGGATGAAACCAACTACAAATGTTCAAAGTAAAAATATAAGAATTGCCTGCTGGATCAGACCATAGTTCATCTGATCCACCAGTATGTCTCCAACAATATCCCAGCAGTTGACCACAGGAAACCCACACAGAAGCCACACAGATGATACATCCATCCCAAAAATATCCCCCACCCTGCTGTGTGTCCCAAATAACTAGTTCTCATAGACGTACTGCTTCCAAGCATAGGTTTCCATTCAGCCATCACAGCTAGTAGTTCTTGACAGATCTATTTTCCATGGCAGTTGTTCTTGAACAGTGAATAATGATCCACTAAAGAGTGGTAAAGGCAGGTCACAAACCACAAGGGAGAAGGAACAACGTGAGCTAGGTGAGAAAAGGTTCTGGGAGGCTAGATGACAAATCTGAGTTTAATTTTAGCTGTTGTGAAAAATGGTCATGTTAATACAGCCTTTTTGCTCAGTAATACAATATATATTTAAACACCAAATACTAAACATAAAAAGTAAATAGAAACTTGTTCAGTGTTAGCTAGTGTGAGATTCTTATGTTTTACGCTAGGGAGGGGGAAAGGAACATGGTGTTACTTCTAAAGGATAGTGTAGAATGGCGTAGAGAATTTTTGGAGTTACAAAAACATGTGAAACTAGCTCAAATACAGATAACTGTACCCAGGAAGCAGCCAGCCAATCAAAAACTCTCTTAATATTTTTTTTGTCCTCGAACCAGCCAATGTCTGGGATGTGTCAATCATCTGGCCTGCCTGTAAACAATACTCTCTATATTAGGAAACCTTTTCTTTTAGTCCCAAGTGTATACTCGTCTCACACACATATGCTATGCTCATGTACAACTAGAGATGGAGATGTGGCTGAGTTCTTGCAAGGAAAATGTGTTGTGGGCTTGGGCTGTGATTCTCTCATGAAAACCTAATACCGACAGGCAAGGGGGGTCTGGGTAAAAGTCGGATCTAAATGGATCCTCATGAATTCATATGATTTTTACACTGAAACGAAATAAAACCACCATCATATTGTAGGCCATGTGTTAGTCTACAAGGGGCAGCACAAAAATCACGCACCCACAGATTCGTGGCACCACAGCAGCACAAAAACATGATTCCAAAGGACGGATCCTCATGAATTCATATGATTTCTACGCTGGAATGAAATAAAACCTACATCATACTGTAGACCATGTCTTAGCCTATAGGGAGCACTCCAAAAATCATGCCCCCATGAATTCGTGGCTCCACAAAACTGCAAAAACATGGTTCCAAACCACGGATCCTCATGGATCCTCAGGGTTTTTCAACTGGGTCACCCGAAACACACCATCAAATCATATAACATGTCCACGGCCACAGCTTGCATCACAAAAATCACAGATCCACGGCTTCGTGGTGAATCCATTCTGTAAAAACATGATTCTGAAGCACGGATCCTCATGGATGTTTGGGGTTTTTGTGTTGGGACACCCCAAACATACCATTAAATCCCATATCATGTCCATGGCCACAGCATGCACCACAGAAATCATGGTGCCAGGGCTCTGTGGCAACATCATGCTGCAAAAACATGGTTCTGAAGCACGGATCGTCATGGATCCTTATGATTTTTGCATTGTGTCACCCCAACATCACCATCAAATAATATGCCTTGTCCATGGCCACAGAATGCACCACAGAAGTCATATGTCCACAGCTCCGTGGCGACACCATTCTACAAAAACATGGTTCCAAAGCAGGATCCTCATGGATACTCAGGGTTTTTCAATTGGGTCACCCCAAACACACCATCAAATCACATAGCACATCCACGGCCACAACTTGCACCACAAAA